CTGTGTTTTATGTACTGAGTAGTTGGCAGTATCCTCAGTATTTGGCCCTTGAAGTCTAAAAGATTTACATGGCAGTCGTAAGTCATACTGCTTACTTTCACCTCCTTTTCTCTGTTAGATTTTTTTTTTTTTTTTTTTTTTTTTGTACCAGGGATTGAACTCACGATCATGTGCTTGCAGGTCAGGCGCTTACAGGTTTTGTTTCTTTTAGGTCCATATTGTGTTTTCTTTGGAAACATGTTTTAGGAATTTTTGTATATCTTACTAACCTAAAAAGTAATTCACTTTCAGTATTTCCCCTTTTAGGTTTCTTTTATTAGGTAAACATCTTTTCCTTATGTGCAGTGCAAATAAATGGATTGTACTGTAGTTATTAAATTTTTTTTAAAAAATGCATGGCTATCTTCTCATCACTGAGGAAGGCTGAGGCAGGAGGGTTGAGAGTTGGAGTTCCACCTGGGCAACTTAGCAAGACCTTGTCTCAAGATGAAAAATAACTAGGGATATAGCTCAGTGGTAGGCAGCCCTGGGTTCAATTCCTAGTATCACACACACACACACACACACACACACACACACACACACACACACAAAAGCAAATGTATTTGCTATTGAAAGTATTTAGTGATATGTCAAATACTAGCAGACTAGCTTTGAATGTTCTAATTTGTATTTTTAATTTTTTAGAGTAATAGTCACTGGATATAATGATGCACATCTATAACCCTGGCACCCTGGGAGGCTGAGACAAAGGATCACATATTCAAACATAGCCTAGGCAACATAGCAACTTAGTGACACCCACTCTCAAAATAAAAAAAGAGTTGGAGATATAACTCACTGTGAAATGCCTGGGTTCAGTCCCTAATACTTCTAAACAAATGACAAGCAAAGTTACAGTCATCACTTTGGGACAAATCTTTATGCCTCAACTTCATTTGTGCTGGTTATCACTGAGGTTGGGTGGGAAAAGGCACAGTGCATTTAAGAACAGAACAGCAATACTATCCGTGGGGCACTAGAATGGGAAACCTTAAGTCAAAACAGGAATTTAAAAATTGTCATGCAACAGAGAAAGGACTCCCCTGCGAATCACTTGTGGAGTTGGTTGAATTTGGAGTGGGTCAGCACCTAGACCCCCTGCTCTAAGGCAAAGCTATCTTTTCCATGGTGTTCTTTAAATACCTTGTGATTTGAGATGTTATATACATCCTTTTTTTTTTTATTTTTAAAAAATATCAATGCTGTAGAATTTTTTTTTATTTGTGCCAAATGGGATAACTTTCATAGCTTCTTAAATGTACTTCCTTGCTCTTTAGGCTTCATAGGAGATTCCTGTTTTGTTTATTGCAGCTTCCAGTCAAGTTTTATTTATTTTTAAAAATGTATTACTGGGGCTGGGGATTTAGCTCAGTGGCATAAGCACCTGCTTGGCAAGCGTGAAGTTCAATCCCTGGTACAAAAAAACAAAAAAGTATTGTGATGTGATCTTCCATTTAAATGTAGAATTTTAGAGGTAAATGATAAATTAGAAATCATAACTTTACCTCCCCTCAGTTACATTATAAATCATTTCTCTGTTTATTAAAGGACCATAAAGGTCCAGATACTTATTTCTGGATCACAGAGTTGGAAATATTGATTAGCTTTAAGGATAATCAAGTCTGGTACTTAATGATAGATAAAGCGTGCTTATAATTAGTAATTGTGCTCATCATTAATGATGCTAGTGATGCCCAGCACTTACTTCCTCTGGTTACTACACCCAGGCTTCATTTTATTTTTCTGCCTGCCATCCTCACAGGTGCTGCGCTGTTGAAGTTGCCATGTTTGGTACTAAGTAGAGACTGTGTTGATTTGTAGCAGATTTCCCCCTACATCTGCCTCTTTGATAGTAGCAGGGTTTACTGCCACTCACTTATTAGTACTCTGGGTCTTAATAGCCTTACTCAAACAAAACATGTTAAATGAAGGTGTAAAAACAGGTCACAACAGTGAGCCACTTTGTAACTTTCGGTGCAATAAAATAGGTATGTTGTGTTTTGGAATATAAGACTGCTGAGTGCAGCTATTCATTTTCTTCATCTATAAAACATTTTAGCATAACAGTTTACATCTGTGTGGGGTATAAAATTCACAATCTGAAGAAACATCACTGTTGTGTAACTCCAGCCCAGACTGGGAGGTAGGTCCTCACCAAGGGCTGCGTTCCCTGCAGCCGGGAGAAGTGACTGTGGAGGCGGGTAGCCGTGAGTGCTGGCAGGCTGCCTTATGTGTGTGTGGGACACATTTCTGTAATCACTATTTCACACAATTAATGACAAGTGTGCAACACCATTTTGATTTGAATATCTGAAACATTTTTCAGAAATTTATCTTATGAATGGTATTTCATTACTGGAACCCAGAAATAAATGTAATTATTTAAACATACATCGTACATATAATTATCTTAGATTGTCAGTTTATCTTGTTTTAGAGAGTAAAGTTGAAATTTACTTTTGGCTTACTTTTTAAAATAAGTAACCAGTGGAATAGTTTGGCCATTTCAAATATGTGACTTTTAAATTATCTGTAAACTGAACAAACAATTTAATTAATAACCTTTAATAGAGGAAAATGGGTCACATGTCCTTCTATAGAATTCAAAATCTAATAGCAATATCAAATAAGTTCACATAACATTTAGTACAATTTTATGGGTTATCTTAATCAAGAAGTAAATAATTCTAACAAAGATCACACAATATATTTTACCTTTTTCACCTGATATATGTGAAATATTTACAGTCTTGTAAAACTGTGATATATTAGCATTTGAGAAAAGAAAACATTTTCTATAACCCTGCTTGTTAGTCCTCTTGTGTGCATTTTACCACATACATTTTTAAAAATTTAAAAAAAGTTTTAGAAGCCTGTTGGATAGTCCAACTTTGGTGTTTTGATAATTGAATTGGAAATACATCTGTTTAGTTTCAGAGTGGACAGTGTCAGATGAGTCAGTGTTTTGGTGACCAAGAAGAAAAAAAAGGAAAAGAAAATCTAAACTAAATTTGATCCCTCTTCTGGGACTTTTGGCATTCACAGAAGGAATCTGCTCACTTAGGACAAGGACAAATTTCTCTGAGATCCTAGTTTATCATATTATTCCAGATGGTTGATATTTTTTTTCTCTCACTGCCACTTTGTCTTAGTCACTTTTCTTATCCATGAGTGCACAGTGCTCAACAGCTATAAGAGAGGAGAGGTTTATTTTGGCATGAGGTTTATAGAGGTTTCACTTCATGCTTGCCTGGCTTCAAGGCAGGACTACATGGCAGAGGAGAAATTTTATATCATGGTGACAGAAGCAGAGAGCAAGCCCCGAGGGGAGCCCAGGCGGAGATTTAACCTTCTGTTCTGACTCATCCCTTCTGACCAGGCCCCACCTCCTAACAGCAAGTCAGCACGGAGTACCCCAATCGCCTTGCAGAGGTCCTGCCTAGGGCCACATGAAGCTTTAGGGGGGACATGGAGATTAAAATTGTTAACACACTTCTGAAAAAGTGTCTGTTACACTCAGGGCAATAATTGGTTTTGTCAGGATTAGATGTTGCTGGACTTTAGAGTTCTGAATGCATACAGGTATTTCAGAAGTAACTTAATGTGCCAAATTCTTGTGAAGTTAAGTACTCTTCCCATGTCATATGTAAGGGTACTGGGGCCATGGTGTGCCAAAGGTGCTGTCAGTGTCGCCACAGACCTGCTGGCCCGTGGGGCAGTGACTAGATAATACATAAGCTAATGGGTGGGCCTGCTGCAGTTGAGTCATTTATTTTTTTAGGAAATATGGAGGCCGTTTCTGTTTTAGAATTTCAGAAAATTTAATAGCAAATCCATTGTACTGTCAGTGAATTTATATTCAGATAAATACCATTCAATGTCTCTTCCACCAATCATTGCCCTGAGTGTAGTGAGACAGGGCTGTAAATACCTCAGTCTTAAGGCATGGTGGAGAGCTGTTCAGAAGAGGGTGGTAATAGTACTGGCTGCCTGACACTGTTGTTCAGAGGAATCAGTGAAATAAAATTGTAAAGCCCTGATCATTTTAACCTGTATTATTAGACAACTCACTGTAACTACTTCCTGTGTAAGTCTGTGATCCGCTAGCGGGTCACGGTCACTGAGGTTTTCTGTCTCTGACTGCCCGTGGGCCTCTGTCCCGAGTCAGGCCACTGCTTCCCGTCTGTGTCTGTGTGGAAACCGCCCCGCAGCCTCCCGGCCCAGGACCCGCGCTTCCCGGAGTCCCGCTGCTCACCCTGTTCTCGATGTGGCTCTGCCCCTGCTCTCTTCCCTACGTGCCCCCTACGAACTCCTACCTGCCTTTTCTTTTCTCTCCCCCTCCTTTCCTTTTCCTCTCCTCCTTTTCTTCCCTTTGCTTTGCTCTTCTCTCTTCCCTCCTGTCTGCCTCGGTCTCCCTCTCCTCCCCTCCTCACTTCTCCCCTCCTCTCTGTCTCTCTGTTTTTCACTTGTCCATTCCTCTCCACTTGACTTTTCTTTCCTTCCCTGCCTGCCTCTCTGCCCAGCCTTCAGTTCCTTTTCTCTTCCCTGTTTTCTGCCCCTCTCCTCCCCTCCATACTCCCTCCTCCAACTTCTGTTCCACTTCTTTTTTAAATCCTAGTGCTTTGAGCACTAAGCTCTAGATAAACCTTAACTCCAAAGTCTAAAAGAGTCAAGTCTTTGCATTTCACAGAGAATCACAGCATCATTTTATGTCCTTGGGCTCCAAAAGTTGTGGCAGATTTACAGTTACATTATCTCTTTTTTCTAAATATGTATGCTTACCTATGAATTAGTTATATATAATTATATATATATAATTTGTTATATTTTATATATATATTTGTTATGTATACATGCATATATATTACTAAACAATAATTACAGGTTCTTATAATATGATGCTAGGCAAACACTGACTTTTTAAATTTGTTTAATTTTTTTTCCTCTTCTAATTCCAGATTCCTTTTTCACTGGTCCAGTTTCCCTTGTGGGAGTATTTAAAGGTAAGTTTAAGTACCTAAGTATCTCTGTCACAAATATCACAGTCTGAGTATGGCAAAGAAAAGTACATAATTGACCAGAAGTTTAAAAACTCAAAATAACTTCTGCGTGGCTGTCTTTTTACCCAGTAGAATTTTATTTCACTTCACTTTGTATATGTGTGTTTAGGTAGGGAGTAACACTGAAGAGTAAGGGTGAAAGGAAAGAAAGACAGACCTTGGATAGCAAGACCTGCGGCACAGGTCAGCGTGGATAGGAGGGGGGGCAGCAGGGCCATGGGAGCCTGACTGATCGGTCATCTCTCCTGTTGACCTGCCCACTCCTGCTTTCCTTTACTAGGACTTGGGACTCCCAGTGAAAAGCAGCACAGTGTGGGGGCTTGTGAGTCAATCCTGGGGAGAACCATTTGTTCACAAAGAAACACAATGTAAAAACCTGTGTTCATAATATACATGGATGTTATCTTAGGTTTTCGGTTGTCTGATGCAGTGATACTGAAAATTGTGACTTATGATAGGAATTGTGTGGCTCTTTGCCAACATTCAAAGATGTTGGTTAAGAAAAAAAAGTAAATATTTGGGAATATTTTACACAGTGAGGAAAACTTTGTTTTGTAAAACCTCTGTATGTACACATACATGTGTGTATCTATATTGGCGTGCAGTGTACAATGTATTTCTTGCTGGAATAATGGCCCAAAAAGATTGAAAGTCATTGTTCAAATGAAAACAATTCATAAATGACCAAACCGGAGGCATTTTAATTCAAAAATAAAGGAATTGCACCCATAATTTTGTAGTCATTACTGATGGAGTATTTATATAAAATATCTTTTGAAGAATGTCCTAAAAGTTACTTGGACTCGAAAATAAATGCTTTTGAGGTGATATGCTTAAAGGTTAATAAATTGAGACAAAACATTACTCTTCAACTCTGGAATCTTAAGTATTGAGAAATGTTTCTTACAAGTGATCTGATTTTAAGCAGTAGTGCTGCTCATTTAATGGTTTTTGGGGGTCTTGTGTTTTGTTGATTTTACTTTACCATTTCCTCTGTGGTAGATGGTGAAAATAGATCATTCAGGCAGTGTTTCGGGGTATGATGTGACAGCTATCCAATGAGAAGGTCACATTCCGTTAGCATACCAATTCTCCTTTTTAGTGTGTGACAAAAGAACAATGAAGCCAACAGCTGTCCCACAAACAAGACTCGCTTTATTAGTTCTTCAATAACCAGCATTCACACGGATTCTGCACACTCTGACATCCTGATGCCTAATTCAGTGAAGGAATGTTTTGAGATCCAAAAGCAGAAAAGGCATGGGATTTATTTCTTTCCAATATTAAGGACATTTGCAGAATTCTAGATAGTTAAGAAATGTCTTGAATTTTTCAGAGAAAACAATAATGTTTTATTTTTATGTTTGAATTAAAAGTATTCTACTTTGAGTAACTCTAAATATATGCCCCCATTTTCCATACACATTTCTTCTTTTATGGGTATTTGTTTCAGGATATAATCATCACGTTCCTAATGAAAAGTTAGTGCATGTATATAATACATCTTAATTCTTTTTTTCCCTCCCTAAACCTCCCTTTATCTCTTGGTCTCCTTCCCTTTTGCAAGAAGATCTAGCTTCCTATTTAGTATTGTCTATCTTTTATCTGCTCTTTAATTATGCATATTTTAGGTTGCTCCTATGGGAGAAACCATGCAATGTTAAAGCTGTTCTATCTATTTCACTTCACTTAACATTATGGTCTCAAGGTAAATCCATTTTCCTGCAGATGACTCAGTGGCAGAATAGTGCTCCATTGTGTATAAATGCCACATTTTCTTTATCCATTCATCTACTGATGGATGTACAGACTACTTCTAACATTTAGGCCTTATGAGTTGTGGTGTTGTAAACATAGGTATCACTATAGTATGATGTTTTAACCCTTTCAGGAAGAGATGTAGAAGAAGAAGGGATAAAAGAAGAAGGAATTCAGTGGAATTTTTATTTTTTAGTTTTTGAGGAATCTCCATACTGACGTCCATAGTGGTTGAACTAGTTTACATTCCCACCAACAATAAAGAAGGGCTCCTTTATTGGCAACCTCTGTAGTATTTGTTATTGTTTGATTTCTTGATGATACCTAGTCTTTCTGGAGTAAGGTGGAATCTTAGTGTTGTTTTAATTTGTATCTCTGTAATAGCCAGAAATGCTGAACATTTTTTCACGAATTTATTGGCCATTCGTATTTCTTCTGAGAAGCATCTGTTAATTTCAGTTGTCTTTTTTATTGATTTTATTTTTAGAGCTTAATTATTTTGAATTCTTTATATATTATCATTCCTCTGTTTAGGGTATAATTAACAAAAATTTTTTCATATTCTACTGATTGTGTCTTCACTCCGAGGGTTGTTGTATTTGCCGATCAGAAGCTTCTTAATTTAATATGATCCCATTTGTTGATTCTTGATGTTGTTTGTCATGCAGTTGGGATTCTACTCAGAAAGTCCTGCCTATCTCTGTGTCACTAAGAAAATTTTTACCTATTTTATTTCATAGCAGGTGAGGTGTTATTGTTTTAACATTTAGATTCTTGATTCATTTTGATTTTTGTTCAGTACCTAGTGAGAGATATGGGTCTACATTCAGTCTTCTACATGTGTGTTATGTTTGTGTCTTGAGGTTCCCCCAAAGCCTCATGTAGTCATGGGAGTTATCTTCTAGAGTTTGTTATTGGTTTATGGTCCAGTGCTGGCATTGTTGGTGTGAATGCCACACCCACCCTAGGGTGGATAGACTACATTCAATAAAGGGGCAGAAAGAGTCTTCTCTCATGCTCCTTTTTTGCTATGGTTGCTTTTGCTGTTTTCTACCACCATAAACTGTTAGCCTCTGCCATGAGCCACCCTGCCTTGGAGCCTGCCAAGTATGGACTGAAACTGCCAAAAACTGTGAGCTAAATAAGCTTTTCCTTTCTTAGCTTTGGGTGTCAGTATTTTGTCTTAGCAATAAGAGAAAAGTGATCATAACAAAACTAGTACTGAGAGTGGGATCATTGCTGTGATATTGCCTAGGCTTGTAGCTTAAGAGCCTTGGGAATTAGTTTAGACAGGCTTAGAAAGCCTGGACTAGTGACAGCCCCTATAGGCTGTACACTATATTGGAAACTCTGGTTTGAGGTTGGAAAGTTGTACTGATAGAAATTCTGCCAGTTAAGATGAAGCTCAGCAGGCTTCTATTGAGAAGGACTCCATTGGCTCCTGGAACTCAGGTAGTATATTGTATTTTGGCAGGAAGTTGGTCTGAATTTTGCTTGCATTTAGAGATATTGCCTGGGTGGCAGAAAAATCTCAATGCAGCCTACTGTTGGGATGATAGGATGGTTACTGTTGAGCAATATCTATGTTGGAAATTAGGAACAAAGTGCTACTAGAGTGATGCGAAGGCTAGACGGAAGGCTCCAGTGGAATTGTAGATTGCAAAAATGAAACAGGAGGATGTGGTTGTTGAGAAGAACAGGACAATGGAAAAATGAACTGCAGCCTTTCACCTAAAGGGAAGAGTGTGTTTGAATTGCAGGGGATCTTTGTTTTTTAGTCATTCCATGCCCTTTTAAAAGTTAATGGATAGCAAGGAATGTGATTGTAATAGTTTTTTAAACGTGATTTTAATGTCATTTTTAGATACATTATGTAACCAGGTCAGCATATTGTGGTTTAACTGTGAATTTTGGTCACCCTTTGAATATGTCATTTTTGGTGTGGGAATGAGTGCAGTTAGAATTGTATATATGTAATCATTAAAAAGATTTTTATATTAATGTAAATCTGACTAGACTAAGACATACTAACTTTTTATAAATCTTCAGCTAAAACTGTGGAAATGAGTATAGTTACCAAATTGACCGGGGGTAGACTGTGGTAGATTGAGAACTGGCAGTCAACTTGTAATACCTACCTGAGCTGAATCAGTGTGGTGCTGGGTACAGATGGCCCACCCCGGTACTGTTGCATAAAAAGGTCAACATAAAACATAAAAAGGTCACCTTGAGAGGAAGAAGTAGTGTTGTGTTGCTGATTCTCCTGGTGCTGTTGGTTCTCCTGGTGCTGTTGGTTCTCCGGCTTCCTGGTATGAACTCAGCTGTTCTCCTTGTCAGAGGAGTTCAGGACCTCATCACTGAGGATGGCTGTGGTACTTTTCAAGGGAGCGCTGGTCCTTACTTTGAATGTCACTTCCTGGCTCCAGTGCAGATTCCTCAGTTGATTGTCATGAATCCTTTGTCCTGCTGGCACAGACGTCTTAGCCCCCACCATGGACCTTTGGGCCTTTTCAAGGAAGATCCATGAAGCAGACTTGCATGAGACCTTGTTGTGGGCTCTAGGCTCTAGCTGGACTCGGGAGCACTGTCATGGGCTCCAGCTCTTCAACTGGATTCCTGCAGGACATTGTTAAGGGATCCAGTTCTTCAGCTGGACTCTGTGGGTCTTTAGTGTGTGGACACATGTCCTGCACTTTTTTGTATTTTACTTATTTGGTGATTACTATAAAATAATTCTATAAATTATGTGTCCTATATTAAATTGTTTTCCTTGCAATCCCTGACTACAACAATGTGGGTAGCCAGTTTTCCTAGTACCATTTTAAAGAGGTTATTTTTCCTCCTGCATATTTGTCATCTTTGTCAAGCACATAACAGAATGTGTCTGAAGTTATTTATACATCCTCCATTCTGTTTCACTGATCCACATGTCTGTTTTGTTGCCAGTACCATGCTGTTTTTGTTTGTTTGTCTTATTTTGTTTTAATCACTGTAGCCTTGTAGTATGACCTGAAATCTGGGATTGTAATGCCTTCTAATTTGCTCTTGTTGCCCAGGATTACCTTTGCTCTTCTGGGTCTTCTCTGATTCCATATGAGTTTTACTACTGTTTTCTCTAGTTCCATGAGAAATGCTGTTGGTGTTTTGGTTGGTGTTGCAAATGCTGTTAGTGTGTATTTGTTTTA